TTGACACATATCGCGACGAGATACTGCGGCCAACTTCGCGGCCGTAAGTGCGGATCCCGGCGCGACGGAGCCAATAACCGAGATTGGCTCTCGTTTCATCGCCCGTCCGGCTCGACCCCGTAATCTTTAGCCGCTTCGTGAAACGTCCCGAAACACGGCGCGGCGATATCCCGTCCGAAGGAGTCGGGCAATTGCACAGCCCTTCTTATACCCCCCCAGTCTTTTACTCCTCTCTTATCCCCCTTTTTTTTTCTCTCCTCGTGAAAGACGATACAATCCCGACACAATCCACGTATCCCGCAGACTCACCGGCGTCGCGCCTCTCATGTTTTGCGAGGACAATATCCAATAAAAAGAGGAGCGAAGTAGCTCCCGAGCTTTCTCGCGGTCTCTCCGCGACCCTTTTCTTCTCCATATATGTGTAATAAAGTTTTTCTCGAAATTCTCTCGCTCGTCTTCCTTATACACGGTCGCCGTCAATCGCGGAAACAAAAACGTGATTGCGCAAACGACTCGTGACTATTGCGGTCGGGGATGAAGTCACGTGCTCCGGATTATCACATAACTGAGAACGTAATCTCGAGACGGAATAGCCGGTGAAATAAGGTTCGTGTTACCAACGGGGTTGAAATGGTTAGAACGTCCACTTGGAATGAGCTTTCCTTGAAATAGAATACTCTGATTGCGGTATGATTATCTGCGATTACCCGTGGCACGGGGTTTGCGGTTTGCGATATATATACTATACAGAGAGAGATCGTATGCGATTCTACAACTACCATCGAAATTTAGTCCGAAATATATATATATATATTCCGCTAACTTTATGACGTAATACATTTCTTTCTTTACTGACTGCGCATTGTTGCACGGTTAATTGTTCAATTTTACGATTTATTTATATACACATTGTATAACATAATCGATACGCGCGCAATTTCATTTAACGACGCTATTTACGGGGGTTGAAAGCTTCGCGAGGCTATTGATTAATGATTGATGGAAATGATAATTATCGAGTCGAACTAAGCTCATACATCGGATATTCAATTATTCGCAGATGTTTAAATTGAATGATAGTCATGCGCGCGCCATTGTGTTGCGGAGTTTATAAACGATTTTTGATAGCGGCTTGTTATAGGTCACATTCGTGTATACACACGTAGAGAGTGCAATGACTTGGTAAACGTTTCTAATCAAAAGTTGATTGCAATCGTGTAACATCGTTAACTGCCAATCTTAATTAATAACGGATAACAAACTTTGGCGAGCGCGAGTTTCTTTCGTATAGTTTCCAAGTGAGAATCTATGCAACGTAGTTCTAACGTACATCGCTTTGCGCGTTCATCTCCGTTATCTACAGACCTGTGTAAACAGGATGCGCGCGACAGCGTTTCGTGTTATCTGTAGTGATTGCTAGGCGAGGGTTGTCGCTCACCGGCCGTAATAGATTCATTAGGGTGGGCATCACCCGCCGCCGCCGTCGCCGCCTGCCGTGTATCGTCGACCCTAACTCCGCATCCACAGTACTACCCTCTTTCATTTTCTGTCACTCGATCACTCATTTTGCATGTAGTATCCGTTACTGACTCATCTACTCGTCCGATTGTGTTGTAATATAATTAGCCGTTTACCGGCAGACACTCTCGTTAGCATACGTTACTATCATTTTTCGTTCATTTACACGAGCTTTAATTATTCATGACGTTCGATTGTATTTTCTCTCTCGCGTATACAATAATTAAACACACACTCTCTCTCTCTCTCTGTTTCTATTAATTCTAGCCGCGACAAATTGTCAGATTTGCTCAACGTAATTAGAGGGAAAGGAATTTCCCTAATTGTTGAACCAATAACTCGGTTCTTTTAATCATCGATGCAATTCTCGCACTCGCGTCTCACGCACCGTTGCGCGTTTTTCAAATCCACACATGTCCGATCCAATTTAATCGAACCGGTCGATCATGAACTCTCTTTCTAGCCTCCTGCTCTTTCCTCTCCCTTTCTCTTTCGCGCGCATAGAGTCTGCGCGATATTCTCCCCGGACAGATATCTCGCAAATCTGATTATCGATCGGTAATCAATATCGCTGCAATTTGGCGACACGCCAACGCGCGTGCTTTTGTGCATGCGCGCGTTCGAGAACGCGCGGCCATGCTGCCGGTTGCAATTTTTCCCGGTTGCAAGCGAATAATCGGACTCGACGCCGAGCGACGCAATTGGGTGCATCATAAAATAATATCGCGAACAACAAACGCGAATTCCGCATATCTTCCGCGCAATACAGAAAACACAAAACTCCCTCATTCAATTTCTTGAAACAAAGAGAAGATTTTTTCTTTTTTTTTTTTTCATTAATTTCACATTCTTCATTCCGCATTGTTTCAAATATTGAAACGAACGCAAATATCGTTTTCTCGCTTATTGCGAGTCTTTTAATATGTTTGCTCTCTTCTCCCTCTCCCCCTCCCCCGCCCCCTGAGAGAGCTCAAATTCTCCACGAATTCTTGTTCGAATTGTACGCGAGACGAAACAGATGTAAATACATATTCATACACTTTCTTCGATCTTTCGCTTCCATCTTCCTCTGTATTTCGGTTTTCCCGCGGCTATCGCGTATACGCCTCCTCTCTCTCTCCGCTTATTTCTCTTATATATAACTTTATCGTGATATTACATCACCGGCGCGCGTAGGCAAAGCGATATTGCGCTCCCTCGTTAGCATTCCTTTTTCAGACGTTAAAACACGCTCCGATATTGTATCTTTATTATTAATTCTTGCGGATATCTTGCGCAGCATAATCCCAAATGCGCGGCGCCACGCACTTTTTCTCTTTTGAATATTTAAAAAGTTTAAACAGTGAAAAAGTTCGAACAAAGTCGCCGTGGAAGTGGCTTCAGGTGAAAAGAAAAGGTAATGGAACCTCGCGCCGTTTTTCATCCCTCGCGGCGGAGGCGGGTCATCAGTCGTTTCTCTCGTCCTCCTCTCTCTCTCTCTCTCTCTTTTTCTCCCTTCTCCCTCTTTTTCTCTCTCTCTTTCTCCCCGCGATTCCTTTGTGAAAGTTTGAATACGTAGACAACGTCTGGTTTCGCAGGGACCATTTCTTCCGACGGTTCTTCGTATCCGCCGTTTGTCACTCGCTGCCAAGAATGCGCGAATTCAGGGACAGAGAAGAGGTTGAAAAGGAAATCGGCCTACGCGCGCGTGCGTGGCGTCTCTCGAGTCTTCGTTTCACGGCTACGACGACTCGAGCGGGTCGCGACGATAATTCGCTCTGAATTCATTGTCCAGGAATTAATATCCCCATTTCGCGCTTCGCGAATCCCCAAGCGCCGCTCCTTTATATTTGATCATGGAAAATGAAGTTTAAATCCTCTTCCCCCCACTCTCTCCCACACCCGGATAGTGAAATGCGCCGGAAATTAGGGATATCCTGCCGCTTTATCGATTCTCATTCAGATTTTGTCCGACAGGCCGTAATACGCGAAAATGCGAGAATGCGCGCGTTGCGTTGCAATTGTTTCTTCTAGTTATTCATAGAGATGAAATTTAATTACAATGTGTAATAATGTGATTTTATCGCATTTGTTGTTGTACGAGAAAGTTTGCACTGAGATTGACGGACTGGAAATTACGTAATTACACACGTAACATGTTATTTTACATATTACGTTTTGCACGTGTGCGCGCATCCCACAATTGCAAATCTATCTATTTATTATGCAGAATTATCTGGCCTGGAAAATTATGTCGCTTTGCAAAGTTGGTAGGCCGATAGCTTTTATTAAAATAATTCACGGCTAAGTAAATAAAATTTAATACGTTCAACGACAGATTTAATGTTAAAATGTAATCCATATGCGTTAAATAATTAATTATAACAGACAGTGTGCACAGCATATTGTATACATACACTGCATAGAGAGATCAATCGAAAACGCGCACATACACGCGCACACAAATTATTACCCAGCGGCGAAGAGAGCTTGCAAAGACCATCCGTTGTGCACATTCAGCAACGAGCGGTCGATATCCGCATCCTGATACCGCTTTCGTGTCTTTGTGTCTGGCTAGACAAGGTGATGGACCAGCAGCGCGGCTTCCGATAATCATTTTTTTTTTCTTTCTTCCCTTGTACGGCTCGTAGTTCCGCTCGTATATATCCGAGGCGACTCCTGTCAAAAGCAGCGACCAGCGTGGTTTATGGCGCGTCTCCGCTTTTGCCACCCTTCTATAAGACGGGAGGGAACGCGTGGAAGGATTTCAGCGTGGGACCCTCCGGCCGAGCATAATGTGCCCATTATCTTCAGTCCTTTCGTCTATTCCGCATGTGTACACTGCCTATATAATGTACCGGGTGTCTGCGTAATTTCGCGCTTCCTCATCTGTTCGACTTTTCTTTTCCCTCTCTTTCTCTCTCTGTTCTTGTGTTGCTGTGTCGCGAATGGCCCTGACACGATCGTAAAGCCTAAAGAGACATTAGACGAACGGGTCGAATACAACGAGGATGAGGAAAAGGGGTAGCCCCTTGCGGGACAGAAGATCCTGCCCTTGCATCAAGCAAGGCGACCAGAAACCATTACGGTAATATCCTACGGACGGAGGAAGTGATTTTTAAGGAGACGAGGCTGCCATTTCAAGGCAATTTCGCTTTCCCCGTGAGCTTTTTCGTGCTCTTTCTTCGCCGTCCCCTCCGCGCTCTCCTTACAACAGGACGATTATGAAAATTTCGCGCCGTTTTTCGGGGGGTTCTCGTCCCTGAAAAGTGGATTTTTGTATGGTTAGGACATCTTTTTTTTTTTCACGCGTAAATCACTCGAATCCCCTCGCTCACGGCCGATGAATCTCTCACCGCGTTCCTGTCGTAACGAATTCTGATACTTCGGACTGCAGACAGGAATTGTTATAAGTAACATAATCGAGATAAAAAAAATTGAACATGAAATTACACATAATTAAATCGATGTTAATTGTTCACGACTTTTATTAACCCTTTCAGATCCGTCAGCATCCGGCTCGTCCTGCGAGGATGACGAGGAGGGTCGAATAATCAGTGTCAGGAAACGAAAGAACAGCGTCTACGCTTCTTCCTCGATCCGCGCACCGTCTGCAGATCGAGATACTTTAGTTTCCACCGACGGTCTGCTGGTAGATTGCGTGGCGCTGGTACATCTCGCGGATCAATCACCGACCGAGCTCAGTCAACCGGTACGTCATCCGTCACCGTACTACTACGGCGATCTCTTCAAGGTTCCGGAACAACTGTCCAAATCGCAGCCGAGCAGATATCGGAAAAGCGTCAGCCTCGATGTGCCGGGCGAACGTTCGCGCACACCCGGCATACCGAAGAGGAATTCGGTAGCGGGTGATGGGGGTTCGTACGCGACCCAGCAACGATATCAGCAGCAACAGCAGCCGCAGTATCCGCCACCGCCGCCGCCACCGCCGCCTCATTATCAGAGTCAGGATCATCTGGTAAGCCCCACATCGGGGAACGAGCATGCTGTCCCAGCCAGAAGCGAGATCCTCTCGTCGTGCATCATCACCGAGTGGGATCACACCCTCATGCCTCCACATCGACTGCTGAGTCATGATCTGCCCACTGCCGTTTGTACCTGCGTTGCATCGCCCGAGGAGGAGGAGGATGAGTTAGAACGACGGCAGCCGCAAGTGACGCGGCATCAAGTGCGCAAGTTACGACGTACGCGGAGGATAGACCCGCAACCGATACTCGTTGAAGACGAAGACGACGTGGAGGGTGAGGACGAGGAAGAAGAGGAAGACGCGGAGCTCGAGGACGAAGACGAGGAAGGAATGGCCAGGCAGCGTCACCTCTACGAGACGGCCTTCGATTGCAAGGTCAATCGCTCCGACGATGACCTCGACGATTTCGATCGGGTCACCAATCACGCGGTGTTGCACTCCCAGGTACGTAAACACAAAGTTTTTTTCAAAATTTTTTTTATTTTGAAAACAAATATATTGATTGTCTGAACAATATACGCAAAAAATTAAAATCATCGAAATCATTCAGATTTTATCTCTTAAAAAATACTTTAGACTGTTCTTTGTAGAAATATATATACGATAAATTTTGGTTTGTTCTAATTTGGATCAGATGCGAAGTAGCAACGCCGCGCTAACAAGTAGAACGAGTTCGTCGACGGACACGCCGAAGCAGCAGCATCAGCAACAACTTCCTTACGCCGGCCAGTCGCAGTCCAGCAAGGATCATCGACGCAAAGTCGTACTTCTCCGCCCAAAACCGATTCCGAGCCGCTTGCAGCAGCAGCAACAGCAGCAGCAACAGCATTCGCAGCAGCAGCAGCAGCAGCAACAGCAGCCGCAACAGCAGCCGCAACAGCCGCAGCAACAGCCAGACAATATTTCTACTCTGTCCCAGGATATCGAGTCCCTCCAGATCAACTCGAGCGATGAGAAAACCGGATCGCCGAGACTCTCAGCGCGCGATTACACGCCGTCGCCGCCGTCGACCGCCCCCCTACCCGCCAAATTTCACGGCAACCGCGACAACTTGCTGCTGAATATTCGCAGCGCGCCGAATCTACCCTCGCAACCCGATCATCCCCGTCTGAAGGATATGAGATTGCCGGTGAAATCGTCGTTGCGTGCCAAGGATTCGCCGCAGAGCAGCGAAGGCAGCATCCTCGAGATCAAGAGCCGACCGAAGACTTTCGTTCAAGAGAACATTGACTCTTCGGGCCGTCGATTCGACAAGGAGCTCATACTGGAGTTCAAGGACAGGCCTCGGGAGGAGAGGCAACGACCGCGCAGCCTGATTCGCGAGAGCAGACCGATCAGGGAATTCAAGGGCAGGCCCCACGAGGCGGAGAGCGATCTCATTGCGCGACCGCGAAGAGACGCCGGTCTTCTGGAGTTCAAGCTGCGCAGCTCGAGACGTCGCGCTGGCTATTCAAGCACCGAGAGCATGGCGACCAGCAGCAGCGGAGGCAGCATGGAGTCAATTCGCAGCAGCACGAGCGAGGGCAACCGATCGACCAGCAGCTCGGACAGTCGGCACAGCACCAGATCGCTGAGCTCTCACAGTTCCGACAGCGGTGGCACCAACTGCTACCATCACCACCAACAACCATCACTGCCCGGCTTTCTGACTCATCACGCCACGAAGCTGCACATTCTCTCGCCGATCTCCGACAAATCTTCGCAGGAGCCGGCCTCCGAGACCTCGGACAACAATCGCAACAACAACTCGCAGAAAGCCTCGCCCGAGGAGAACGTCACGACGGAGAACGTGATGATTGCCGCGAGCAATAACACGAACGCGAGCAACACGAACGCCGTCACCTCGCCTATGGACACGTCCTTCAAGAAGAGACGCACGCCGCAGAACAAGAATCTCATTAATCTGGCCTTGCAGTCGTCATCCTCGGGAGATGCCGAGATCCAGGGATCGGACAGCGGTATCTCGATCGAGTCGCGCGCCGGCATCAAGTGCAAACCGTTCGGTTTTCACTTGTTGAAGCCGCAGCTGGACAACATCAATCTCGTGGACAACGAGCCGGAACTCTCGGATTTGCCTTTCGATATGCCGAAGCTACGGAGAAGACGGCTGTTGATGCAACAGGACGCCACTACATCCGGTAGCGCGACCAGTGTCGATCTGAGGGATCTGCCCTTCGACATGCCGAAACTCAGAAAGCGTCTCAGATGCACTCAGAGCACTGAGTCCAGCGCGTCTCAGGCGTCGTCCAGTCTCTCGGTACGCGACGTGGAACCACCATCTTTATTTGGTAAGTTGTCGTAATTGTTCAATTTTTATAAATATGAAGTTTTACAATTCCACGGAACAAATGTGATTTTTTCTCGGAACAATCGTGTTAGTAAAATATTTTATTTTACTATGTTTTTTTTAAATTATTTTTTTAGTTTTTATTCTTCGAGATACGTGTGTGTAAAACAAATACGACAGACAAACATTGTGTTTTACGACCAAAAATCGATATTTTCATCAAATTGCTTTTTCGAAGATTATTAAACGGGAAACCGCGGGGCTTACCTTCTTCTTTAATCGAACGTCTAGTCCATTAAAGCGATAAAAACAGTACTTTCGGCACTTCGAGGTAAAGCTAAGTACTCATCAGGAACGAGGGATCCTACCGTAATTTGATGCTGATCGTTATGAACCTTCCAGACAACAGCTAACATCGTTAAGCTCTCTAAGCTTTACTTAGCCACCCAATACAGCTGTGTATTTATCGCAAGCACACGTTTCTTTGTCAAACGCGTCTTGACGTCTCACTTCATTTTTCTATTTTTGAATACGTTATTTTTAACGGATGTAATTTTGTTAATTGATATTAACGTAAATATCAATAATTCAGAAAGCTATCAAGCGCGTATAAAATGTTACCGTGTAATAGAAGAACGCCCATATACATATAGAGATCATATCTCTACGTGATTAAAAAGCATTAAGTGATTAAAAAGTATTTAATTAAATAATTACTAATTAAATAATTAAAATAATCATACACAACGAATCTTTATTTTTAACTTAGACAATGTCGCCATTTGTGCGATAGATGTAAACCCATGATAGGTATAATTAGTGGTATAATTGCCGATGCTAAGCGATCACAATATATCAAGTAGCATCGAAGTAACTGGGAAACGTGTAATTCAGATCGCATTAATAGTACGAATGATGAGACATCAATAATTTATCGGTCGCGGAGTGGATCTGGACCGATGTGCAAACCGCACACACGTACGTAGGAGCGCGCGCACCGCGAAGCGCTCGGAATTAGTCGGATGATTAAGCCGCTGCCACTGTCGCATCGGTGCACCCTCTCTCTCTCTCTTTCTCTCTCTCTCTTTCTCTCTCTCTCTCTCTCTTTCTCTCTCTCTCTCTTTGTGTTATCCCCCGAAGCTCTATCGTCCCGACCTGATGGGAGTTTGAACGCGCGTCGTCTACCCTCCCAGTGCCCAAATTGCGAAAGCTCTAATGCTTCGAGAACGAGCTTTCGCGCCGCGCGCAACCGCCTACGGCGCGCACAGCGTCGACCTGGAGGGCGAGCGGGTAGGAGGTAAATGACAGTACACCAAGATCCGAGTCCGTGCGCGGCTGTGCTGATGTATGGACCTACTGGGGTCGGAGCCAGGCGGGGAGAAGGAACACGGAAAACGTGGGCGACCGGGAAAAAAAAGCGAGTGTCTATTTTTATCGTCGCTCGAATGTCAATAAAGGCACGGAATGACCGGTAAATCCGTTTTGCTGGAAGTTACGGGTCCTTGGAAACCTGTTCTTTTTCTCGCGTTCTCGGAGCGAGCAAAAAAAAAAAAAAAAAGCGCTCGGTGACCGGCGACGAGTGATTCGTCGCACGTGAAATACGCCGACGCGGATTTATTTAATCAATTACGAGGTCTCGAGTTTTCTCTTTCTTTCTCTCTCTCTCTTCTTCTCTCTCTTTCTCTCTAAAGCTCGACGACTCGCTTCAACGTCGTTGTTCGGCTGATTTAATGCACGACGATTATCACTCGTGGGGCTTCAACGTTATTAGGGGATAAATCATTCTGTTCTCCCGCTACTGCAGTCGACAAAATATCCCGTGATTCGATATATAATTAAAAGAATAAAGAAACGCGCGCAATTTACACAATTCTACGCGCCGATATTCGTTTTATGTTGTGCTTTTTTTTACGCAAAAAAGACACGTGATATATTTAAGAGTAATGTTTTTCACACAAAACTTCGTTTCTTCATTATCTCTGTGTCATCGCGAGATGTATGTATATGTGCGATGTATATGTATGCGCATCAATTTGGCGCACGTCAATGAGACGCGACGCGAAACAAATCGAGAATGAAGCGCACAGCGCGCACTCGATCACATTGATAAAAGCCCAGTCGCACGTCACTCGGTTGCAACCGCTCTCTGAGCAACTATCTCGTACGTCGAAAATATGAATAAATAGCCGTCGTCTGAACGGAGGTTTAATCAACGCGCGAATAAATACATGAATGCGCCCGCGCTGAATGTGCACGTGTGTACCGGGGACGTACCCACGCCGCCGGTCGGTCTCGTTTCCGTTTTCCAGATAACGAAAGTGCAGTTGTCGCACTGCGTACCTATGTACATACGAACTACTTCGATCACGGCTGGCCGAACATTTCCCGATGACGCATTTTTCGTACCGCTGAGTGTGCACCGAGAGACAATAAAATTCTCTCTCTCTTCCTCTATCGTACGCGCGCGCGCGCGCGCGCGATTCTCTGCATGCAGCTCTATGGGCGCAATGAAAACAACAGTAAAACCTGCATGCAACGTGCATGATTGCAATACGTTGCACGTACGCTCGCAGCTCTTGGAAAATTCAATGAATATGAAACATTTTGCGCGCTCTCTAATTATAATTCCGCTCTGACTTTAGTGTCAAGTTCGAATTGAAATATTTACCAAGCAGAGGTTCGTTCTTCCGCAAACGAAAATAAAAAAAATTATATTTGCGATTTGTGCGAAAAAATTTGCTTCGATCATTTCTCGTAAATGATGCGGAACAGATTCTTCTCTCGTCGCAATATCTCGCAGTATTTGGCAGTCAGCTGCGAGCGGATCGAGAACTGTAATACTTTTTTTCCGCTTGACGGATGCCCGGATTCGTAAATTACGTTTTGAACAGGGGGAGAAAACGTAAGGAGAAAACGGGGGCGAGTGCGTTAGCACGTGATCGGAGCCAGATTTCTCCCAAGATATACACTTTTTACGCGCGTTCACTTGTCGACAATTACCTTTTCAGGGAGAACTCTCTCTCGTCGCGGGTTGATCGATCGGCTTTCCTTCGGCTTTGCGCGTTGGCTTATTGGTTTGTCGAATGCGCGAACAGGTCGTCGATCACGATAAGCCATCTTGACCGATGAGACGATTTGCTTCTTGCCGGCTGAATTTTGTCCGTAATTCTCTGTTTGTTGATATTGTCACTAATTGAGCGAAACGAATTGTCGTTACCGTTTTAGTTACGTTTTTATTGTAAACAATTTGTTGTTGCAACCAAAAGCTTGTTTTTGCGTTTTCTATTGTAATTAATTACATGACTAGCTTAGAGTTACTGCTTTCTATTTTTTTTCAAAGTGTTAAAAAGAATCAGATTTTTTCTCACTGCGCATTTCCTTCGACTTACGGTAGCGTTAAAATCCCGGAAGAAGAACAGTTCGCACGTTGTGCCTTCAGGTGAAAGCTATCGACTCGCGCTAGAGGCGAGAAAGAGAGAGAGAGAGAGAGAGAGAGACGGAGCTCATAGAAAGCCTAAAGCCGCTGCGTCGTTCCGCTCTTTCCGTGCTTCCTATACACGGATGGATTCATCGCGCGTGTTTTATAACCAACGTCGATGTGTACAAGCCACGTGTCAGCCAGGAAGATAACAGGCGCGTATTGAAAGTATCGGAAATATTACGCCCTACTTGCAGCAAGTTTGCACTGTCTCTTTTCCGTCTTTTTTTTTTTTTTTTTTACACGCCGTCGTCGTCGTTGAAACGTTCGTTTCGCGCGACATTATCGTCCGCGAACTTGCCGAGTGAAATTTTAATATTGATCAAAAATATGTCTCGAACAAAACGAATTCGAGTAAAAGTAATAAATATCGTGACTACACTGCCGTTATTGCGATACACGCGATTGTTACATCAGGTCGCGCTCGGGAAGGAAAAAAAAATTGATACTCGCAATCTGGAGAAACAGATCTGTCTTGGCGCGTAGGCCATTTTAATGGCCGACAAACGTGAGATTCACGGCGATCGTTAGCGTGGCTGAAGAGGAGGGAAGAGGGAAGCACAAAAAAGCTCTAGATATCTGGTACTACTCGTTGCGTGTAGGTTCTGCCAGACGGCAGAAGAAGAGTACACGAGATTTCTTCCGGTTGTTTTACGACCAAAGTTGTCGAGTGTAACTTACATCAGAGTCGTTTTGTTGTTTTTTTTTTTTTTTTTTCCGGTATTGTCGCGCTTTTTGTTCACCACGAAGTTGCGGTTCAGCAGTTTTTTATTGCGAAAAATGCTGTCTGCGTATTTTTGTCGCGAACAAACTGACTTTGTCGCTAGATAAACATCCAAACTGAGAACAAAACTGGCGGACAGAAAAAACTGGCGTGTTGAAAGAAATATTATCAATCTGATGTAGTTTCGTGGTTCTCGAGTGTTCGCGCGAGATCATCTTTCTTTCGAAAATTTGATTTTATGTGACGGAAAAAAATATAATGCACTTTCAATATTTATTCTTTCATTTTATTTTTCCGCGATCGTCGCAAATACTACGCCATAGATAGATTCCCAATCAGATCGGCAGAGCGAACTCAACTTTATTTCTGTACATAAGAGATTGCCATTCGCGATTTGCGGAACGGATATTCCGCAAGTGATTCCGTTCGTTTTCGCGCAGTTCGACGTGGCCCCGAAAGGTTTTGTCACAAATCGTCCTGTTTACTTCGTTTCCCCGCCTCTCCAACGAAGAATCCGCAATTTCACCGTTACACAGCTATATCATAGACACAAATCACGTACGATTTTAGTCAACATTGCCCACTGCTCCCGGTCTACTGACCATTTGGTGGTCGGCCAAACTGCCAGACCAAATGGTCACGTTTAGGGACCTTATTTTAAGATTGTCACATCATTAGAGCCTAGAAGTGAATTCATTTCGTGAAATGTTGCGGCAATGTGGTTTCGCGTAACGACTACTTTTACACAGTTTGCTGTCGGGCAAAAACGTGAATACTTGGTTCACATGACTCTTGGTGAGATTTAAAAGAGTAAAAATAAAATAGAATAAAATAGTAAAATATGATAAAAGCGTGTGTAGTGTATATAAGAGACGATTTCATCACAGAGCGCGTTACATTTGCGCTAACGAAGCAAAATAAAACCGGCGCTGATGCTGCTCGAGCTTTAATTCAATAGCTTTCTGCTAATGCGAATTTTTAACGAGCGTGTCTCTGTGTGTACCCGCGCATTTTTCCAGCTCGTGAATTTTAGAAGAGCATGCAAATTGCACACACCACTCTGTGCACCCCTAACGTTTCCAAAAATCCGTCGGAGTGGATTTTTTGCACGCGGATGACGCTCGCGTAATGTAAACTAAAACCACACACGACTTGTCTCCGGGCTAACCGTGCCCTTCTCTTTGCGTCGATTAAAAATCCCAGACACGTACCGTTTCTCTGATGCCACTACCGCGACGCGTCGCGACGCTGTCTGCTGTTATCCATTTGGTAACGATCCAAAATGCCGCTGCGGCGATGCGAAGTGCTGCTCCCATCTGACAGAGCGTCCGCGCTCGAGATTTTTCTATTTGCGCGCGTTTCAGCGAGTAGCACTTTAACGTTTTTTACGCTCGACGAAACACGCGACCGCGATAATTAAACCAAAACCCCTTTGCGTCGGTTAGGTTCGTTATTACAATGCGAATTTAAGCGCTGGTTTAAATCAGATAAAATTTCTAATTGCATTACTTTCAACTTTGTTGCATCTTAGTGCGTCTCCTTGAATTTGCATTTTATGTTGTACCACTTAAGTCTGAAAAACAAAGCACTTTTTATTTTCACGGTCTCTGTCTTCCTCCTTATGCCACGGTTATTTTATTAAGTTGTCTCTGTCTTCTCCCCAAGACGCGGTCACCGAAAGCAACATCCGTAAAATCCCTTTTAGGGTTGTTACATGTCGCAGCCACCGCCGCCGACTGACGAGGGTGAAATGCGATCAAGATCAAAAGCTACAAAGAGAACTAACTAATAACTACTATGATATCATTATCCGCGACTTCTATCGAAAGTTTCAATAATTTCCCTCCCTGTCGCGCTTCATCGACATGTCGTCGTGGTTTTTTTTTTTTAGCGATCACCCTCGTTTCTTTTTTCACCCTTTAAAATTTAAGATTGTGAAATGCATTTCCATCGTCGTCGACAAACTAGTCCATTAAGAGATTTGATTAACAAATAGAATTTCCCGGCGTAAAAGATGAAAGTTTCAAGAGACAGTGAGACAGCTATTTCGTAAATAATAAATGCTATCACGGCAGCGGAGGCAGCGCGAATCGAAGTGTCATTGATCCTCCGACAAATTGTTGTACCAGGATCACTCCGAGAATCTTTCCGACGGAAACATCTCATACGCCTATCGTATACTTCATATTTCATGAGGATCGCGAACGTATCAACTATTCCGAGCAGGTTCGAAGTGTTTGCCGCCGCGTCGATAAGGGCTCGTCGACAGAGGGAGGACGGAGGAGCTCAAGGGCGTGTAACTGCAACATCTGTTGGCGAGAATCTCCAAGGCCTATCCCGGTATTTCGCATCTGTTGTTCGGATATTTCGGCACCATTGCCAGAGAGTTTCTCCTTCGCAAAGGGAGAGAGAATCTCTCGCGGAGAAGATCTCTCTCATAACGTTATACGCCGATATAAGCTGCAGACGACGCGCGCGAGCTCGAGATTGCGAAATCATCATGACTAGGCCGTTCCGTTCGGGATCTTCTTTCATTTACGATCCTTTTATATGCGCGAGAGAGTTTGTGAAATCGGAAACTTTCAACGAGAATATTTTGAGACAAAATAACGTTACAACGCATGAACGAAATCTCGTTCCAGCAGTTCGTATAGTTTGCAGCTTCTTGCGTATTTATCCTTACAATTCCGCGCGTTTACATTTTGCCGAGTTCTCTCTCTCGTAAAAGTTACGTTGTTCGGCGCTCGTGACTGCTCCGTCATAAAAGGCGTTCGCGATTTAATAGCGTCTTGCCACTCAATGGAATCGCCATTGACTCCTTTTCCAAGAACGCATTTGACATGCCGACTCCCCGAGGCCGTAAATTCGCCGGCGTCGTAAATCTCTGCGCCGAGCTTCCACAACCCTCGATCTCCTCCGCCCGGCAATAAATACAAATCGCTGGTGCGTGCGCGCGCGCGCGCGCACGCGAAGGGTTGTGCGATCTCTCGTCATCTCGTCCCGAGAAGTCCGTCTCGACATTTGGCGGAACGCGCGTCGTCAATACGTCCTGATTTTCGCGCGAAATTAAAAGTTCCGTGACGTGACGCGACGTGCGTTCGCGCACGAAGTTGAGATTTCCCCGCGCGTCTCCATCTTCTCTCGTTATTCGTGACCAGAAATTTCCCCGGAGACGTCCCCGCAGCGACGCTTGCGGCGCGTGTCACGCGCCGAAGAAATATTTTTCGTCTCTGTCTTCTCCACGTTGTTTCTCTCCTCCGATTCTCTATCGCCGCGCAATCACAGTAAGCCTCTCTCTCTCTCTCTCTATCTCTCTCTTTCTCTTCTTCGTGTGCGCACCACTTCAAAAACACCGTTCTCGGGGAAGATCACACAGCGCGACGGCGGGTCTTAAAGACAAACATACAAGGCGGCGCCGCGACGAGATGCGATCTGCGACGGAGAAGGTTTACTTGTGTCCTTGACGTGTACCTACGATACGATACTCAGCATCTCGACGTTACCCCCATTTCCCACGAGAGCTCACGGGTGGTAAGAAAGCCCGCGAAGAAATTGATTGAGATGTATCTCCGTCAGAGACGGATATTAAAACAGTCTGAAGAGGAAAAGGGAGAAAATAAGGATATGAGTGTCAGGACGAGAGATTACTTGTAAGGGTGATGTACAAAGGCTTGGATTGGAGATCGCGAGAGAGTAGGGGAACAACATTCCCGAGCAGAGACAAAGAAGAGAGGAAAAACCGTTTACACCGTCGTCGCGCAGCCGAGGGTAAAAGATGGGCGGGGGAAAAGTCGAGCGGATAAATCTGCTCGATCGCCGGGATTGAATTTAATAATACAGACGCACGCAATCTCGTCGAGTAGCAACGCTAGCCAAGCTCGCCACTTGTTAATGTTTAACCATTCCCGAAACGTGTGTTTCGCGAAGAGGAATGGAATAGAAATGACGCGTGAGAAATGGCCACTGCCTTCTCGGGTCCTTTCCTCTCACCGTAATTTGATGCGCGTGTATATACAGGATGTTTCAGAACGCTCGAAATATTTATCGAAATTCGAAAATCAATCTTTCTTGGCAAAAAGACTCTTTTTTTTTAATCAAAAGAATATAATATTTATTTTACATAATTTTAATTAATTAAAAATATTACGACGAAAAGCGCTTGCAAAATCCAAGTAAATTTTTATACAGACGAAGTCAAACTTAATTCTAATTAAAAGATTTTTTATTTATCAAGAAATTTCTTTTCAAAATGTAATTTGCCTAATTGTTTTACTCCGCTTTTTAAAAGTTTTTTAATCGGACTTTATATCATTTGTTCTTTGTTCATTTGATTTCCCTGAGTCGTTCTATATTTCTATGTAATATATATGTATATATATATATATATATTAAAACGTAGGGCAGACAGGGAGCACTTTAGGGTTCTCCTCGTGCATATAAAGCCGCAAAAGAGGCTAACTCGACGTTACACCTGTCAGAGCAATTTTGTTGTACCTGCGTCATGTACCGTCCGAGGAGTCAACCGCTAAGAGATTGCGCCAACAAATGAAATTAGTTCCCTACCGTGTACGCACGGCCGTTACCTTGATGCGAAGTGTCCTTCAATGATCGTTATCGTTCGCCAGAAATTCCTGACACTGATATTATCAAGCGAAAAATACGTAACTGTAAAAAATTGAATAAAACTAAACGCTTCTCGCGGCATCTCTGCCACTGTCGCGAATGATACGCATAAAAATTCCTTTTAAAGAACCATTCTTTACGATATTGCTTCTTTTTACACACATATTATTGCTTCACTTAAGAGTCTAATATTTAACAACTACATGTGCTTTTTTTTATATTATTCGACAAAACATTTAAATTTAATTATTTTTCACAATCGACGCGGATCTAATTCCCATCAGTTTGCATTGTCTCAGATAAAGATAGAACAAAAAGAAGTGAGAAAACACAAAACGACGTTAACAGTTCCGCCAACAATTTTCCGCGGACGACGGAAATCTCAGTTTATTTCTGATGTGTGTAGCAATTATTAAGGAATCGTAAAAGCCTGAGATTGCCGGCGTACTTCTCTATGTACTCGCCTGGTATATATCATCGCTGTTTACTGGGCTGACTCCACGTCTAACCGTCGGATGACTCATTGCAGGCGGCGGTCTGGCGCGTCCCAAGATGACTCTGAATCTGGACGCCGGTGGAAACGCGGCGGGAACGAGCGGCGGAAACGCGGTCGCACAATTGGCGCCGAAGAAACCAGGCGGTCTGAGTCTCGGCTTACCGCTCGAGATCAACGCCGCGCGGATATCGGCCGATCTCGTCGATGTCGAGCTTCCACTGGAGAGACAAGGGTACGTAATACGCGAAGGGTATAAAGCTCGTCGTTTCCCTTTCGAGACGCGTTTCGTTTTTGCGCACGTTGCGGGCTTACTTTGACTCGAGAGCTATTCTAATGATCTCGTTAACGATCTCAAGGTTACGCGCTCTTACCCCAGTTCGTACCTCGTTCACCTTTGAATCTTCGCGAAAGCGGCCTCTTGACGGGAATCTTTCCGCTACGTTGCAACTTCGCGGCCGAATAAATGCGCGACTCTCTGATCAGAAAATCTCTGCGCAGGTGGTATCACGGATCCATCACGCGAGTCGAGGCGGAGGGTCTTCTGCGAGTTCATCAAGAGGGAAGCTACTTGGTGAGGAACAGCGAGTCCACCAAGCAAGACTATTCTCTGTCTTTGAAGTAAGTGGCGTGTGGGCGGTATACGACAAAACACAATGCTTGCTAAATTTTATAAATTTTTTTCTTTCTCCTTCCGATCTAAAATTATCTTTGTTGCGATTTGCAGAAGCGCTCGCGGTTTCATGCACATGCGCATTCAGAAGAACGAAGAACTGAACGCCTACATCTTGGGACAGTTCAGCAAGCCGTTCGAGAACATACCGGAAATGGTCCGTCACTTCAGCGTGAATCGTCTTCCGATACGCGGTGCCGAGCACATGTGTCTCCTGCATCCGGTCATAGTTCAGCTTTTGTAGCGCATTTATAGTAGCGCCATATAAGGCGTTGAGATTACAAACAACACTTTTTGATATAAACCGCTTTTATTCTCGACCCGAGTGCCGATTGCGCGCGATTGCAATGAAACGAGCTTGACACAGACACTACAGAACGTGTTCTTTCAGGAGGAATATTATTTCCCGACGAGAAAACAAAACAAAACAAAAACAAAAACAAAAACAAAAAAAAACGAGGAAGCTCGCGATTACTTCGTGGTTTGATTCCGCGGTCTTCCGCAAGAGATTCTCGTATCAATTTGTATTGACTGAGAGAACGAACAGAGTTCTGCACGAAGAGCGCCAGAGATAATGGACAATAATGGCTTCTGACGGGGAGATACCCCGCTCCGTGAAAACGTCGACGAAAGTACGAGTGCACAGTACAAAAGTATGAACAATGAATGAGCGAAAGTTGCTGCAGCGATACACAGTGCGATCGAACGATCGGACGGAGAGAAAAGTCTGTGCGCGATTTGCGCACGAGACATTGCTCGCGTTATTAAAACACGCATGAAAGAGAGAGAGAGAGAGAAAGAGAGAGAGAAATCTCAGGTTGCTCAGAGTGAGGGAATATTTTCTCAGGCGCTTCTAACGTCGGCTAATTGTTAGTTTTTCAACAACACTCGCGCTTTCGCGATATCGAATCTAAAAACTAGATATTTCGATTGCACAATACAAATTTTTTCCACACGGTAGCGCGGACGACTGAGTACGTTACACGGACTCGTAAAAAGCGTAGACTTCAGTGGACACGCTTTGTCTTCCTCAAAAAAAAAAAAAAAAAAAAAAAAAAAAAAAAAAAAAAAAAAAAAAAAAAAAAAAAAAAAAAAAAAAAAAAAAACATCGCGCAAACCTACCTCATATGCAAAC